TTTCATTTATTTTGATTTTCTTTCATTTCATCCTTGGAGTACATAAGCCTAAATTTGGTTCGTTGTATTTGTGTTTTGAAGTGCTACAAACACAAGTGTAGCCGTTGTATCTTGGGAGTCGATTGCCGAAATCCGTAGGCACCGTTGCGGGGCAAATTCGACTTAAGGACAAAGAGTCCAACTCTTGCCTCGGCTTTGTCACCATCATTATATTTATTTCGGCGTCACTATTCACAAAATTCATCCAACAAAGTCCACATCCAATTACCGATGAAGAGGTGTGAGAAATAAATTTCAGTAAACACATGCCACAAAAATCTTGAATACGTGCAAGAATAAAGAACTTCGTAGAACAACTAATCTCGTAAGTGGGACATGGAATCAAGTTTCAACTCATGGATACCATGTGCAGCACTACTATATTCGGTCCTTCATAGTGTAAAATATAGTAGGACCAACGTACATATATCTTTATTCAGAACAAATTTAGAATTTTGCGAAATACTAAAACATGTATTTATCTTGATAATTGTTTTTACAAAAGCTCTAACGAAGTAGGGTTTCTCAAACGCTTTCCTTTTCTTTTCATATTTTGTGTGTAATTTTCGTATTTTATGGTAAAAAGTAGAGAGGGGTAAGTTTATTTAAGTGCATTTAGGGGAACAAACAGAATCACCAATCGTTTTAATTATCCTTAAATATTTAAGGAAACTTTGATTTTTCATAATCTTCCTTTATTTACATTTATTTGCCTCTAATTACAAATAGTAAAGAATCAAAACTTAGGGGTTTTTCTTACGCTAATATATAATTTCCTTCCGATTTGTTTGCTGAAAATTGAGTTTATGAATAAATATGAGAGAGAATTGAAGTTGTTGAGGTCGAATCGAGGGATAAAGGCAAGTCATATTACGTTGAGAAAGGCAAAGTTAAATTTTGGAAGACGGCTGCGAATTGGTGCAAAGTCAACTTAGCAAACTAACAAGGACTTTCAAAATCATATTAAAGGTGTCGTGAAGCACTTTCTCAAAAGTTGAGTTTGAGACTATAAATAAAGAACTTAATATTAAGTAACCCTTTATTCTGATCTTTAATGTTTAATTTGAATTATTGCATGACAAATAAATAATAGTATGTATCTAGTACTCAAAGCACGTTTAAATATCTTCTTGCAAATATTTTCTAATTCTTTTAGGATCGTCATCCTAGCACAACATTCACAAATCTACAAACAAAAAAACTAAAATTTTTTTTAAAAAGTTCCAAAAATAAGAGTAACTGCGGTTAGCGCGGTCTCCCAAAAAAGCATTGTTTATTGCGGTCAAATGCAGTCACATTGATAATTGCTTTAAAACATGGAAAAAAAATTACATTTTTTAATTTTATTTTAATAAGTTCAACTTCAAATTGGTCACGAAAATAATGTTTCAATCTAAATCCACAGGTGTACGGTTCGCGACAAGTAATAAAATGAAAAATTTAACCATAGTTCTATAATTTTGACAACACATTGAAATTATGAAGAATTAATGCTCCTAAATCTATCCAATAGTCTTTCTCGAGCAAAGTTGAACCTATTCTCATATTTCACCGACCTATTTCTCTATGAACGGTGCAAATATACAAGAATGCATGTAATTTTGTGAGCACTTAAAGATTTACGTAGAGCATAGCAGGACATCCCTATCTCTTATCAGACTCTACGATGATTTATACATTGTCGAACCTATTTCACTTCTCTCGAATGCGAGAAATAGTTCACCAAATTCGTACAATTACGGGCCCAATAATTATGGAAGAAATTAAATATATATAAACCATTCAAAATATTCAATACGTGTTTTAATATAAAAAAAAAAAAGAATTAAAAATTAGATTAAAAAGTTCAGCTATCTCCTAGTACAAGAATTTCTAGCCTAATATGGAGAAAATTACAAAATACATAATTACTTGAAGAAATAACATCACCGGATTAAATATTTGCGTGAAATCCCGTCGGTCTTTGTGTTTTTCTTCGTTGTTGTGGCTCCAAATTCTCTCCAATATATGTTTTTCTCCTTCCCAATGTGTTTTCCCTTTAATTTGACAGCTTTTGGTTTTTTATATCGCGTCCCAACTAAGTTTCATACGAGTTTTAACGAGAAATAGAATCTGCAGAATTCACCCTGGATTATAGCTATACGACTACATAGATATGCCAAAAACCCCTCCTAAAGTCCCTAATTCGGTGTATGTGACCGCATGGATTTTGAACTATGCGACCGCATAGTTCAACCTTTTTTTCTGCCGAACCATTTTTAATATTTTGATCATAACTTTCTCTCTTGATATCCAATTGAGTGAAATCAAACTGCATTGGAAAGATAACGAAAAGGGCTACAATTTTGGTTAAGATACACTTTTTCCAATTCGGAAGTTTACTATGCCAAAAAATGGGTCTCAAATAAAGGCTAGAAATCTAGAACATAACTTTATCGACTGAAAGTTGATATCCGATAATATTTCAACTATGTTTCATCTTTTTTACTTCTTTCCTCATCCAATTGACCCCTAAAACTCTTGAATCTTCATTCCATCGTCTATGAATTATTTGCAACCTGGTCCCTGAACTTTCGTTTTCTTTCGTTTTGGTACTTTTTCGCATCTTTTCTCTTGAGTTCCATCATATCCATCAATAGGGCTATACAAAACAAAATTGCATAGAATTAAGTCATATTCAACCAATTTTATTAGCATTTGCCATGTTTTGTGGACTGAATAATTGTGTTTTAACGCACTTATCAAACCCTCAAACTTGAACTATTGTTTGTTCTCAAACAAAGTAGTGACTTAACTCTACACAAAACATGACTTGACAACCTGCTGAGTCTCGAGATTGGAATTTAGTAATCAACATAAGAAACAGTTTCAATAGTGCAAGAATAAAATCAACCCTTTCAAGTTAAATGCATACTCAACGTGTGTATATGAACTCATGCCAACATATTAAACTCATGATAGGTTAATCCCGACCTAAAGTGATGTGATATATCCTTACCTCGCTCAAGAGATACACACCCCAAACTTAGTCTTTTCACTCAATTATCCCGGGGTGTATTCTAAAGTTAGGAGTTTAAGTATCTACAGTCCTTGCCCTCTCTTAATTTTGATAGATCTCACTACTACAGGTTCACATGCCAACAAGAAAAGGCTCTCCTAGTTTTGATTGCCTCGACCCTTAAGATTAAACTAAGTTACTAGCCTCGCATTAAAGGTGTAGTTTCATCAACCAAATGTCTAAGGGCTTTCTTCATGTTATTGTGTTTTTTTATTTTTTCTATATATATATATATATATTCCATCTTCTCATTTGCTTTCTATATAACCTCTTGTAGCGAGTTTTAGGTCGATGACTCCCAGACCAGTTGACTTTAGGACACCAGGTTTTAAACCCTTATAGGCTTATTTACTCGAGTTATAAAGACTCGATCAGATGAATTTTTATTAACTTCTTTCTCTCTTGCTTTCTATATGACCCATTCAGCAAGCTTTGTATCGGTGACTTCCAAATCAGTTGGCCTTAGGGTATCAGGTTTTAAAATACATTTATAGGCTTACTTACTCGAGTCATAAAGGCTTGGAAAGAAGTGTCCTGTTCATACAAGTTAATTTTATGTCCTTTTTACTTTTTATAGGCATTTAGTGTCCAAAATCAACCCCTAACTTAAGACTTTCACCAAGTTTCCACTTCACTGGTCTAGGCAATCCACACAATAAAAATTCACGCACGAAGCCCTCACTTATCTCAATGTCCCCCTATAGTTGTTCTACCATCTCCAAACTATTCTAAAGTGGTTTATTGTTTTGTAAAACATGGGTGTGTGCATAAGGATTGTCAATACATCAACAAATACAGGTTAATGAAATTTTGCACTATATCCACAGTTCCTAATTCATATTATTCCAATAGTCACATCATAGTCGGCAAGGCTATCAAGCACACAGAAGCACAACAAGAATGATTAAAACATGCAATTTTTTTATAACACTCAACAAGCACATAAAATGTAAAAGATTAAAAAAATGCATTGATGGAATATGAACAATGCACGAAGAATGGATGCCACAATTTTCCTTCCCTCAAACTTATACATTATATTGCCCTCATTGTTGAAATAAAGTAGAAGTTCAAATAAGTATAATTGAAGGACAAAATAAAATAAAAGCACAAGAAATAGGATAACTAGTACTCTTTTGATCAGTCTGGCAGTGGTGGAAAACTGGGACCCGTAATGTCGTATGTGGAGCCTACCTTCTCCTTTCCCATTGAGGTCTTTCTGGTGTTATCCTACAAAAGTGCAAAGTATGTGTATTATCTCATGATGATAACTGATGAACTTGGGTGCAGGAAGAAATCCATGTGACGTACCATTCCCCAAACTTGTTTCATAGTGTATGTATAAATCGTGTGGGGTGTGTGTAAGCTATGAACTTAGTTTCATTACAAGTTGCAACTTAATACTATTTCAACATCTTTGACTCATGCACAATGCACTGGGACTCATTTGGATATACATGGGTGAACGATGACCTAAAACTATTAATAATGTTGAAAAATTGAAAAACTCCTATACTAATGCAAAACAAAATAAATAAAGCGTAGCTATTTTATAGTCGATAGCTCGACTTTCGGTACAGGTGTGTTATAGCACTTTAAACATAGCTTGGGAGATCTTGCATAGTTTGCTCAATATGGTCTTGTTCCACACTGTAGTTATCCTTCGAATTTCATCCCTGTCTTTCTCCAAGTGGTGTGACTTTTCTCTCATTTGAATCAGTGAGAATGGATGGAAGTGTGCTACACAGGCCTCATGAACGTCTGACTGTTTCTTCAACTCAAAATTATAAGGGATTCCTATGTCAATCACTTCAATCTTGAAACAGCTTTCAAGCCCAGTGGGGTATTTCATTGCCTTAAAAATATTAAAAGAAACTTGCTCCTCCCCTAGCCTCAGAGTTAATTATCCTTGTTGTACATCTATGAGGGCTCTTATAGTAGCCAAAAATGGTCGTCCCAATATGATAGGCACGTCCTTATCTTCTTCTATATCCAAAATCAAGAAATCTGCTGGGAATATGAGTTTATACATTGAGCCCAATACATCTTTGATAATCTCTCGTGAATGTGTAAGTGATCGATCAGCCAGCTGTAGATTTACTGTAGTTGACTTAGATTCTCCCAATCTCAGTTTCCTAAAGAGTGGCCTCAAGTAAATACTCACACCAAGATCACACAACGTTTTATTAAAATAAAAATCACCAATAGTACAAGGGAAAGTGAAATTTTTTGGATCTTTTAGTTTTGGTGGGAGCTTTTTCTGGATCCTGGCGCTACATTCTTTGATTAACACATATTCTTCTAGCTGGCGTTTATTCGTTAAGATGTCCTTCAAGAACTTGGCATAGCCGAGCATCTGGAGCAGTGCATCGACGAACGGGATGTTGATGTAGAGCTTTATGAAGATTTCAAAGAACTTCTTATATTGCTACTCCATCCTATGCTTCCTCAACCTTTGGGAAAATAAAATTGGTGGCTCATAGGAGTTAACTGGAATGATGACCTTAACCCGTGACATCTCTGAACTCTCATTTGGTGTAGATTCACGTGTCTGCTCATCTTGGTGTACAATTTCTTCTTTCGTAGAGGGTATTGTCTCATTGTTCACACCCGGCCTCTCAACATGTCTTTCAGGTAGTTGCATCCCGCTTCAAGTTGTGATCGCTTGAACATTCTTCCTGAGATTCAACTCAGTATTGTTTGGTAAAGTATCTGGTGTCTTTTCGTTATAGCAAGTGCCTCTATCCCATCTGCATCCCCAAGTTCTTAATTGTGGCACACTGAGTTTGGAGAGTTGTTTCAATCTTTTTCAAGAACTGTTTATTTGCTTCCATGTATGTCTTTGTCTTTCCATAAACTTTGCAAACATCTCTTCCAACTGAAGTGTCTTCTTCTGTTGAAATTGTCTCTAGGATCTATTTTGATTTTGAGTACCACCTTACGAGAGATTTGGATGTTCTTTTCAACTGGGATTGTAAATGTCTGAATTTTGATATTTCTGTTGATGTTGACCCCCATTGTGCGTACTCTACTTGTTCCATTCCCTATAACAGAATTGGGCATTCCGCCGTAATATGATTCCCTCCACATTCTTCACAATTTGTTTTCCAAGATATGTTGCATTTCCTGACTGTGATATGTTTTTCACCTTGTGAAATAGTGAGTCAATCTTTGCAGATAGGGCAGAATATGCATCCACTTCATACACTTTCGATGTCCTTTTCTGAACTGTTTGGTCTGATGTCCACATAGCTGATGTAGGAGCCATTGTCTCGAATAGCTTGAGTGCCTCGTCAATTATTTTTGTAGACAGTGGCCCGTTAGATGAGGAGTAAACCATGCTTTTGAAAGCTGGAAGTAATCCCGCATAGAAAGATTGGACCTGGAGTCCCTTGCTGATTCCATGGTGTGGACACTTTTTTAGCATGTTTTTAAACCTATTCCAGGCTTCATCAAAGTTCTTTAAGTCGCCTCGATGGAATACAAATATATCATGCTTCAGCTTTGCAATCTTGGTGGGTGGGAAGAACTTGGTACAAAACTTATGTGCTAGATCGTTCCATGTAGTGATGTTGGCTATTGGTTGAGTGTCCAGCCATTCAATTGCCTTGTCATGCAGTGTATGTGGGAACAACCTCAATCTAATAGCATCGTTTAAAATTCCTTGATATTCGAAGTGTTGGCACATATCCAAGGATCGAGAGACACGTGTGTGTTTTCTTCAGCTCTGCCGTAAAACCGATGTCCATTTTAAAATAGTTGTATCACGTTGGTCTTCAATTGGAAGTTAGGCTGCACAAATGGTAGATACACGATACTTGACTGGCTTTGAATTATTTGTGGGTTCATGAAGTCTCCTACAAGCATGTTGCCTTCATTCATTGTCCCTTCTTCATTGGCTTGAAAGATAGGATTATTCTGCATGATAGTCATTTGTTGTTGTGCTTCCCTAGTTTCTCTCTGCATTCGATGAAATGTTTGCTCAATTTCTAAATCGACTGGAATTAGGTCTTCTCCAGTAGATCTTAGTATGCAAATCTATGAGAAAAATCAGTGGTAGCACTTAGATATTAAAAAATAAAATAAAATTGAAATGACAAAATAATGAGGCAAAAAAAAAAAAAAAGAATACAAAGAATACCGTTCGAATTAGTACCAAAATAAATAAGATTAAACGAATACTCAATCCCCCAGCAACGGTACCAAAAACTTGATCGCGAAAATAATGTTTCAATCTAAATTCGTAAGTGTACAGTTCGTGACAAGTAATAAAATGAAAAATTTTAATCCGAATATCGTCCCATAGAGATTGAATAGTTTAATTCTATCTAACTCAGCCTTAACTGAAGCCAAATTATCAAACAAGAATTATAATAAATTGAATTAACCCCTAGTTTAACCTAATATGCAAATATATATGATACAAATGAACTAAAATGTAAACTGACGTTTAGATCAACTAAAAATGCAAATAGAATGTTTGGAGCGCAAATTGATGAATTCAATGAATGTATAACACACTAGAGAAATGCTCAATTCAACTCTAGTTCTATAATTTTGACAACACGTTGAAATTATAAAAAATCAATGCTCCTAAATCTATCAGTTTCTCTCTCGAGCAAAGTTGAACCAACTCTCAAGTACTACCGGCCTATATCTCTATGATTGGTGCAAATACACAAGAATTCATGTAATTTTGTGAGCACCTAAAGATTCACGCAGAGCATAACGGCATATCCCTATCTCCTATCGGACTCTATTGTGATTTATACCTTGTCGAACATATTCCCCTTATTTCGAATGCAAGAAATAGATCATCAAACTTACACAATTACAAGCCCAATAACTATGGAAGTAATTAAATATATACAAACTATTCAAAATATTCAATACGTGTTTTAATATAAAAAAATATAGAAAAAAGAATTAAAAATCGCGTTACAAGGTTTATCGATCACCTACTACAAGAATTTTTAGCCTAACATGGAGAAAATTACAAAATACATAATATCTTAAAGAAATAATATCAGCGGATTAAATAATTGCGTGATCGGTTTTTGTGTTTTTCTTCGTTGTTGTGGCTCCAAATTCTCTTCAATATGTGTTTTTCTCCTTCCCAATATGTTTTCCCTTTAGTTTGATGGCTTTTGGGTTTTTATATGGCATCCCAACTATATTTCATAAGAGTTTTAACGAGAAATGGAATCTTCAGAATTTAGCCCCGAATTATAGTTATGCGACCGCATAGATATGCCCCTTGAAGTCCCTAATTCGATGTATGCGACCGTATAGTTCAACTTTTTTCTACCGAATAATTTTTAGTATTTTGGTCATAACTTTCTTTCTTGATATCCAATTGAGGCAAATCAAAGTGTGTTGGAAAGCTAACGAAATCGGATACAATTTTGGTTGAGATAGACTTTTTCCAATTCGAACGTTTACTATGCCAAAAATGGGTCTCAAACAGAGGTTAGAAATCTGGAGCATAACTTTATCGCATGAAAGTTGATATCCGATAATACTTCGGCTATATTTCATCTTTTTTACTTCTTTCCTCATCCGATTGACCCTAACACTCTTGAATCTTCATTCTATCGCTCGTCTCGTCGGTGAATTATTTACAACCTGGGCTCTAAACTTTCGTTTTCTTTCGTTTTGGCCCTTTTCGCATCTTTTCTCTTGAGTTCCATCATATTTATCAATAGGGCTCTACAAAACAAATTTTATCAACAATTAGTCATATTTTGTAGAACGAATAAGTGTGTTTTAACATACTTATCACAAACCTTTAAAAAAATTCTCCCTCTCATTCACATATTTTTAACAATCCAATTCACACAATCACCAACATATTCTATTGAATTGAGGTAGATGGGATAGGTAGTTTGATATGTTTAAATTAATTTTTATAAAAATCTTGAATATTAATTTAAACTTGTATTATACTTTATACATATTTTTCAAATAATAAATAATATTATATAATAGTATAATATTGTTAATTAAAATATTTGAAAAGATATAATTTTTTATTAATTAAAATAAGATAAAAATAATAATTAATTTATTTTATAAATTAAACAACTAAAGGAGCTAATAGTTTGGAGTTACTTTCGTTATTTCCAACTTCCCACATCGGATACTTATTAGAATATCAAAAAATTTACAATCTATAAATAGGTTTACCAAGAATTGAGTAAAAAGCTATCTGGACTTTTTAATTTTTAGGGTTTTGAAGTTGACTAATATAAAAATTTTATCTTTCTAATTTTTTCAAATTTGAATTGGGTTATCGGATCAGATATATAATAATATAGTAAATCGGATATGGATTTAACAATCACATATCCGTTGGATTGTCGGATCGGATTGTATCGGATAATTATTCTTAACGAATCAGATCGAATTTGAGCAGATCCGATAAATTCGATCCATATTATTAGTAAACATTAAAAAGTGGTGGATTAATGTTGGGTTGAATGAATATTAAATAGCCTAATGGTGTATTTGTTTGGCTTTAATTTCCTTCCACCAAGATTCCTCTTTTTGGGTGTTCAATTGGCATTTTTTTCATGAAAAATATTTTTAGTTGGTCAGGTGACCATATTATTCTCAAAAATAAAGAAAACATTTTATTCATAGGGGTATGCTTTTTATTTTCTAGGCAATTCACATTTTCCAAAAACTCAACTTTGCTCTCTATTTTAACAAGTTCTCACTTTCTAAGATGGAAAAGTACAAAAATTTCTAGGTTAAAATTTAAGTCAATCAAACACATTTATTTAACAATTTTTATACAAATAAGTTCTAGATAATTGAATTGCCTAGGACTTCTTTTCTTTCAAAAAAACACATTTAGTTGTCTAGAACTTATTTTTCTCCATACAAATTTCATGTTTTGCAACAAACACACCATGATTATAAGTATTTAGTCTCTGTGTAATGATACTTGAACTCAAAATTTTACTTTATTATTTATCACAATGTGTACACTTCAAAAATCATGCAATCAACTGACCTCAAGATCAATTTATCTCATACTCTTTATAATGCTCACGGGAGATTGTGAACATGCTCTATTGGCATTTGAAAAAGTTGGGCAACGTTGGCACCAAATAAGCCAACTTCAAGGCGATTTATCTTGTACTCTAAATAGTGTACCCAAAAAATCGTGGACGCACTCCATGCATGGGCGGAGCTAAGGAATTTGTTCAGTGCGAGGACAATTTTAGGTATCAGCTATAGTGAGTTTTTGGGTAAAATTAGCTTATGAACAAAAAGAGTTAGGGCGGTCATTAACTGTCAATGACAACAATAGCATGATCATTTATTAACATTCTAACGTTTATCAACACATGGAGTTATAATATTACTACTTGAAAAGCACCATTAAAAAGTTATATTGAACAAATTCAACAGTCAGCTGAAACGGAATATAAATAAAATTGAAATATGTAGCAAATTTAGCTTCACTTCTCCCTTTTTTAACTGTCACAAAATGAAGGGAGAAAAACACA